GCTAAATGCAGACAAAACCGAAATCATTGTCTTTGGTCCCCAGAAACAAAGAGAGGGCGTCATTTGTCAACTTCAGTCTCTCTCCCTACTTCCTTCAGACAAGGTCAGAAATTTGGGGGTAATACTGGACTCAGACCTAAATTTCAATAGCCACATAAAATCAATAACATCAACAGCTTTTTACCATCTGAAGAACATTGCCAAAGTTAGAAATATAGTGTCCAGGGCAGACTTGGAGATTCTTGTCCATGCATTTGTCTCCAGCAGGCTAAACTACTGCAATGGCCTGCTTACAGGTCTGTCCAAACAGACCTGTAAGCAGCTGCAGTACATCCAAAATGCAGCAGCTAGAGTCCTGACAGGAACCAGGAAGTATGACCATATTAGTCCGGTCCTCAGGTCTCTGCACTGGCTTCCTGTGGCTCAAAGAATAGATTTTAAAACGGCTCTGCTTGTGTACAAGTCTCTCCATGGCCTTGCACCAGAATACATTAGTGACATGTTGGTGTCATATGAACCGGCCCGGACTCTGAGGAGCACAGGGACTGGCCTGCTGCTGGTGCCCAGAGTGAGAACCAAACATGGGGAGGCTGCGTTTCAGATCCATGCAGCTAAGATCTGGAACAATCTCCCTGAAAATGTGAGGGAGGCGTCTACTCTGTCAATGTTCAAATCCAGGTTAAAGACTGTTCTGTTTGCCTGTGCATACAACTGAAGGATTTTATCTCCATTTCTAATGCACTGCTGTCATTTATTTATTTTTTTTAAATTTCTTGTGTAATTTTGAAAGTTTTAATGGTTTTATTCTTTTGTGTGATTTTAATGTTTTAATTGTGTTTTAATCTTTTGTGTGATTTTAATGTTTTAATTGTGATTCTGGTGTTTGTTTTATGTGATGATTTGTGATGTGGACTGTGAAGCGCTTTGTGTTGCCCTGTGTATGAAAGGCGCTCTACAAATAAACTTTGATTGATTGATTGAAAACATCCTCTTTGATTTCCTGATCTTTGCCGATCTTTGCGAGGACATGACTCTTGCTAGTGTTGCTGCAGCTTTATTTTGCCGGTGCACAGAAAAGTACACTACGGCCCTCTCCTTTTGTCAGAGAGAGACTTTACCTCTTCAGTCGGAGCATCTCTCTCCAGCGTCTATTCACAGCGCTCAGTGTTGTCACAAAAAATAGAGAAATGTATAGAGCTTGTCAGAATCCTATCTTTGCCACTTCTCATTTACCTAACGTTGTGTTTGCAAGTTTGAGTTATGTATATCCTGTATGTATTCATTTAGCATCACTCTTTTTGTCAATCTGAGATCCACGGATAGGCATAATGTGCTTCACCGATCCATCTACACTGAACATTTCTTTAATTCTGGTCTTCTTTAGTTGGTTTCAAAGCATAGCACTTGTATTATCCAGATATCCTTCTCTTATACAGCGTGTTCAGAGCACAGCTGGCAGAGGAGGCCCAGGCTGGATTAGTCAGTCCCCTGTTAGAGGATGGGAGGGCAGGCAGAAACAAAAGACTTAATATCCATTACAACAATGAACGTGAGTCCACGCGGGTCCATGCTGTTATAAGCACAATCCTCTTCCAAATGAAGAAAGCCTTAAGTGGATTCATGCAACTATTTGTTCAAAGAAAGAAAAATGAAGTGAAATTGCAACATTTCTCTTTGAAGTATGCCCTCGTGAATTCTCATTCCACAGTTGTTTACTAATTATATTATTATAATCATTTGCACATTTAACATTCTTCCACAATTATGAAACTACTAGAACTCCCTGGGACATCTTGTTTTAAGGCAGTCAAAACAGATAGATAGATAGATAGATACTTTATTGATCCCCGTAGAAGAAATTCAGGGGTCCAGCAAAAATTAAAAATAAAGATGATCATTCTAAAAAGCTAACAATAGTAATAATAGATAGAAGAAAAACACACACATTGTACGTAACTGTTTGTACTTTGTTGTCCACACAAAAAACATCAATAAGAGTGTGAAAAATTATAATTCAAGGAACAGAATGGAATTAGAATAGATTAAAAAATATGTGATTTTTGATTATTCTCAAGTTACTATGACATTGATGAAATGACATCTTAATCATTTGACAACAAAAAATGCGTGTAAATTAATAAACCTAACCCTCACATAACAACCTAATCCTAACATAACTTAACCCTAATTAAACAAAACCAAAAAATAATCTAATCCAAACATAACCTAGGCTCAACCCAAAGTGTGCAGTATGGGTCTGTCATGAACCCAGAAGCAATTTTAACAGCAAACTATATATGCATGGAAAAGTGAATGAACAGAAAATTGAATGTAAAAATCTACGTCTCGCTGTCATGCACACACTGCATCTTGTTATTTAGATTCAGAAGAGCCACTTGTCCTAGTTCAATAATTGCACTGATTATTAAACATGAGGGCATAATGAACACGAGATGTCCTTGTGCACTGAGGGCATATTGAGTCTCCCTCTGTATGTATTTACATGACATTCTGGCTCTTATATGATAGTTATTAAAACATTGAGGCGAGTCAGTGTGCACGCTCTAAACCAGGGTTTCCCAAACTTTATGGGGCCTAAAAGTGATAGCGGCCTATGTTTTTTTTTTCTCATCAGCTGAATTTGCAGCATGTATGAAAATTTGTGTCACGATCACAAATAAATGTACAAGTATAGGATGTTGCTTGAGCTGAAGTTGGCTAGATGAAAAATACAAAGATCTGTTGATAACAAATGTATGTGACAAAAACACTAAAATAATATAAAATGCCCTTCACCAAACTGCAGCGTAGCCGTCGAAAGAGGGCACTTCTGAATACATGTATACCCCATATGAATGACTGAAACTCCTTTATTATTAATCAAAATTTGCGGCTCCACCGCACTCACGCTGTGAGAGTGATCTGAGATCTGTGGCCAACCTTAGATATCCCACTTCTGTGCAGACTGCAGAGTCTGAGCTCTGCAGCTGGAGTAACACATTTTTAACATGCCGTCTTTTTACCAACGCTATTTGTAATGTAAATTATATCATCATTCAGATTTTACCTTCTCATATCGTAATATATATTATTTTTACCCACTGGTAAAGTATACCTCAAATGACCAGTATTATAGCATATACATGCCAGAAAAATTATCTGATATTTGAATAATTCTGTTTTGACCGAGCACACTCTGCCCTACTCCTTTGTCAATCAATCAATCAATCAACGTTTATTTATAGAGCGCCTTTCCTACACAAGGCAACGCAAAGCGCCTCACAACCCATATAACATCATGCATAAATCATCAAACATTAGAATTTAAGTAAACATAAAAAGACAGATTAAGAGCACAAGATATATAAAATTACACAAGTAGTTAAAAACCGTAAAAAATTAAAATCACACAAGGGATTACAATCATAAATAATCATAAATAATCATAGCGCATTAAAAAGATTAAAGATAAAAACAAATGTAAAATCATTCACTTGTATGCACAGCTAAAAAGAACTGTTTTCAGTTCAGTTTTAAAAACTGCTAGAGTAGACGCCTGTCTCACACTCTCGGGAAGACGGTTCCAGACTCTAGCTGCATGAATCTGAAACGCAGCCTCCCCATGTCTAGTTCCGACTCTTGGCACTAACAGAAGTCCAGTCCCTGTGCTCCTCAGAGCCCGAGTTGGTTCATATGGCACCAACATGTCGCGGATGTACCCTGGTGCGAGGCCATGGAGAGACTTGTACACAAGTAAAGCTACTTTAAAATCTATTCTCTGAGCCACAGGAAGCCAGTGCAGAGACCTGAGGACCGGACTAATGTGGTCGTACTTCCTGGTTCTAGTCAGGACTCGAGCTGCAGCATTTTGGATGTACTGCAGCTGTTTTACCGCTTGTTTAGAGAGACCTGTGAACAAGCCATTGCAGTAGTCCAATCGACTGGAGACAAATGCGTGGATAAGAATCTCCAAGTCTGCTTTTGACACAATGTTTTTAATTTTAGCAATGTTTCTTAGGTGGAAGTAAGCTGATGATGTCACAGATGATATGTGGCTATTGAAATTCAAGTCTGAGTCCATTATTACTCCTAGATTTCTGACCTGAGTTGAGGGTTTCAGGGAGAGAGACTGGAGGTGGCAGATAACGCTCTCTCTTTGTTTCTGAGGTCCGAAAACAATAATTTCAGTTTTTTCTGTGTTTAGCTGGAGAAAGTTATTTTGCATCCAATCACTGATCTGTTGGATACAGTGAAGGAGCGAGTCCACTGGTCCATGTTCTCCTGCTGTCAGGGACACATAGACCTGAGTATCGTCAGCGTAATTGTGATAGGACACGTTATTACTGTGTATTAACCTACCCAGAGGCAGCATGTAAATATTAAACAGGAGAGGCCCCAGGATTGAGCCCTGTGGCACTCCGCAGGTCAGGGCCAGATGGTCTGAGACACAGTTTCCGATCTCCACAAAATACTTTCTGTCCTGTAGGTAGGATATAAACCAGCTTAGGGCTGTTCCAGAAACACCAACCCAGTCCTCAAGTCTCTGAATGAGGATACCATGATCGACAGTGTCGAAAGCAGCACTCAAATCTAACAGGATAAGAACTGAGACTTTTCCTGCGTCAGTTGTCACACCGCTCTGCCAACCTTACTGCCAAAACAGAACAGAAAAAACATGTTTGGAATTGGATCAAGATGTTGATTTATAACACATCCAAACACACATTTCTACAGCAATTATTTGGATGAAAACACTTTCATATCTGTGAGACAATTACAAAAATGAATACAGTAGTATTATCAACATCTACTTCAATCATTATCCTTATATTTGTATGCAAGATAATACTTTTTGTTTTTTGACATATTCTACTAATTATAAATGTAAAAGACGCGTGACATAAGATGACGCGACAGTCCGTGACGTCATATCCGCAGCCGCTCCGGCACAGCACAGACCAGCACGGACCAGAGCAAGGTCGTTAGCACAACACGCCAACATGATGTCCCTTGCAGCCCGTTCGGGGGTCTTCTCCCCGTACATGCAGGCTACCGCGTACACAGTGGCCGGGCCTCTCAAGCCCCTGGTCCCGGGGGTCGTGGTGAAGAGCGAAAAGATTTTAATTGATCCGAAAAAGCCTCTACTTTGCCGCGAGTCGATGAACGGCCAGTGCCCGAGAACAGGCCCCGCCATCTCCGTCAGCATCAACGGTGAGTTCATATACTGTGTGAGATGTGATCACACATACACATGCTTAATTCTACCATTAAAGCTGTGTTCGAAGCCGTGGCGTGTATTAGCTTAGCATTACTTGTGAATCAATGCAGGTTAGCGGCTAGCTGCTAACCGGCTCCTCTGCATTGTTTAGGTAATGTTAGCAGTTAGCATGTTAGCTTCAGGACACCGGGGCCACTGCCTAAGGTTATACTTGTTTACATGTGTGTTGCATTATATATAATATATTGTTTACATACGTGTTATTATCTCTGAATATATCAGAGGATGTATATGTTAAATCTACTAGATGTGTGTTTATTAGCGTTTTGTAACATGTCCTGACTCGGTCCTTATGTCACCTCTGCTTCATGTTGTATAATATTAATTTTAGGAACATATATAGGGGGTATTAGTAGTTTGGTCACTTAATCGCACTTGTAATAAAAGGAATATTACTGGAGGATAATCAATGTATTTTGTTGTTGCTGAAAATATTTCTTAGGACAAACAAATACAATTTCCTCGTAGATATTATATTGTAATTTAGAATTGTATCATTAATTTTTTTATATATATATATATATATATATATATATATATATATATATATATAAGGCATCAGTTGTAAACCTGCCAGCTTATATCACAAGTGCAACCGTGGGTAGTTAACTGGGGGTTTAAAATAGGGATATCCCAATTAGTTTATATTTTGTGCCGCAGAGTTTAGAAGAAGCAGGTCCTTTTCGCCCCACAGTGGGGACATTTCAGTTGATACACATCAAGGCATGCAGCGAACATTACTTCCGCACTCCTGGTGTGGGTTATGTGTCTTGCCCAAGGACACAAGGACAGCAGACATCAGTGGAGTCTGTCTCGCAGTGGGCTCCCGACCTTCAGGCTGAAAGGCCAAGGCTCTACCAACTGAGCCACTGTTTAATCAGAATCATTTTTTTTATTCTGATTACTTAACATTTAAAGGAATAGTTCACCGTTTTTACATACTGACATATGTTCTTACCTTACCTTAGACTAGTTAATACGTACCTGTGTGATCTTAGTCCGTGCGCTCTGTCATGCAAACGGAGCAAAAACGGGAGGACAAATGCAGCCTCCTCTGGTCACTGTGTAGCACCAAAAGGTAGCTCCCGCTAGAAGCTACCAAACTCTTCCAAGTGTTCCCTATTAGGCGTAGTAATCTGAGGTGCGCTACGTCCGCGCACCTCAGATTACTACGCCTCACAATATAGTACCCGTTTTATCCGCTGAGAAAATCGACAGTTACATTTCTGTGTTACTATACTTTGCAGTGTAACACGTCACGTAACTATATACATTTAATAGGGAACACTTGGAAGAGTTTGGTAGCTTCTAGCGGGAGCTACCTTTTGGTGCTACACAGTGACCAGAGGAGGCTGCATTTGTCCTCCCGTTTTTGCTCCGTTTGCATAACAGAGCGCACGGACTAAGATCACACAGGTACGTATTAACTAGTCTAAGGTAAGGTAAGAACATATGTCAGTATGTAAAAACGGTGAACTATTCCTTTAAGTATTGACCAAAATCACAAAAGCAGTGTGTAGAATTGGCATTGACAAGTCTGCGCAGGCCCCACAGTCCCAGGCTATTTTGGCTTGCATTTTCCCAAGACTAAACGCAATGTCATCACCTAGCTCATGAGTGAAACAAATGTATTTTATAAGATGTGTGTTTATAATAAAGTGAGTACAGGATAGATGTTGCGTCACAACACACTATTGAGTTCTGGGGTGTTTAGCAAAAGAGTACAGATAATCACTCCAGGTGGAAACATTACAATCCATCAACCTATCTTTATTTGTAGAGAGACATATACAAGTCTCATGTAACACCCTCCCCTGAAAAATATATTCTGAAATCTCAATTTCAATTCAGAATTAAAAAAAAGACCTGTCTCCCTACAATTGCATTTATAAAAAAATGTATGAAATAATAATCTTTTCCGAATCAGAATCTTTTTTATTGCCATGTAAGTAACAGGAAGTCACAGACTTGGAAATTGCTTTGGCTCAGTGCAACAGTCAGAAAGACAGGTAAAGGGTAGAGAAGTCATAATAAAAAATAAAGAATAAAAGGTAAATAGTTTTTAATGTTTCATTTACAATCTCCATTTTCATTCCAGGCCGAGCAGGAGTCCGCTTCGCCCACACAGACTTGCGCATACCTGACTTCTCCGACTACAGACGCCCTGAGGTGCAGGATCCAAACAAATCCTCCCAGGGGAGCAGCGAGTCCCGCCGCTCCTTCTCCTACGTCCTCACTGGGGCCACCACCGTGGTCGGCCTGTATGCTGCCAAAACTGTGGTCACCCAGTTTGTCTCGTCCATGAGCGCCTCTGCAGACGTCCTGGCCCTGTCAAAGATCGAAGTCAAGCTCACAGACATCCCAGAAGGCAAGAACATGACCTTCAAATGGAGGGGCAAGCCGCTGTTCGTCCGCCACCGCACGGAGAAGGAGATCGCCTCCGAGGCTGCGGTCAACCTGGCAGAGTTGCGTGACCCGGAGCATGACAAAGACCGCGCCATCAACCCCAAGTGGGTGATTGTGCTGGGGGTGTGCACACATCTTGGGTGCGTGCCCATCGCCAACGCCGGAGACTTTGGCGGATATTACTGCCCCTGCCACGGCTCGCACTACGACGCTTCGGGTCGCATCAGGAAAGGTCCTGCGCCACTCAATCTAGAGGTTCCGTTCTACGAGTTCCCAGACGATGACACGGTGATTGTAGGATAAAGCTCCGTCAGACCTCAGGACTGTTGAGATGGTTGCATTATGAGTTTTAAGAGGTGTGCTATGCAGCCTTCTTGATGGAATGTCAGAATTTGCTTGTGGATACTGTTAGTAACAAACAGTTAATCAATAGTAAAACACTGAATACTTTATATACTTTTCAAGCAAGCTCAAAGTCAACCATGTCGTGAAGTGAGTGGTCGACCCCATCAGAAAAGTTGCAGTGTGCACGTTTTTAAGTTGGACAAATGTAAGTGTGGTCTGTTTTACCTGAAAGAGCAAGTCAATTTCAATCGCCATAAAGATCTAGAAAAAGACATTTTTGAGAATTGCTTATGTAAGATATTAACAACAACATGGACCTCTCTCCTCTGGGCGCTGGAAGAAGGCCACCTTCCTAGAATAAGTAAAGCTCATTAAGTTATATTATCTGTAAAGCTTTTTTCTGAACAAATGTAATGTTCAAAGTAAAAATAAAGATGTCTATTTTCACTCAACCTCTTCATTATATTTGTGTCCATTTGAAATTAACCAAATATATCTGTACCAACTTTCACCTGTAGCAAGAAGCTCTGAGGATTCCAACTTATTGTTTCAAAAGTGTATTTATTTCTGTAATTAACTTAAAATGTGAAACTAAATTATGATTCTAATTATATGCAGAGTGTCAGTATCAAGCTTTTGTTTCCTATGTTTAATTATGGCTCACGGATTGTAAATGTTTAGTAAGCCATAATCAAAATTGTAAGGGATTTTAATAGGGCTGAAACAACTAATCGATTAATCGACGACTAATCGATTATTGAAATAGTCGACAACTATTTTAGTAATCGATTAATCGTTTTCTGGTTCACACGGACTCAAACAGAGCAAAAATGACATGAAAATGTAGTATTTTTGATTAAAACCGACTTTGTTTTTATAATTTCATGAATATCTGTCTGTCTCATCCAATCAGATAGCAGAATTAGCACAAAGAGCCTGTTACAAACATTTACTTTAAGTTTGCGCCATCAATACGTCCTCGAGTGTTGCCACTTTAGCTTTTTGTGATGATTTTTTTTTTTTTTTTCTACACAATTCACAGCCAAGCGATTACTCGATTAATCGTAAAAATAATTGATAGATTAATCGATTACAAAATAATCGTTAGTTGCAGCTCTAGATTTTAACATACGTTCCAGAGTAAATGGGGTTATATATTGTGAGCATCGTTCAAGAGTGATCCACTCATTTCTTCTTCCTAGTGTATTTTGTTAACACCATGGCTACAAAGTGCAGATATAGCAGCACCTTTTTGTCTTACATGCTTGGCAATGAAGATTCTTGGGAGCAGAAGAATTAGATTACTCAAACGTGTGAATCGCACCAAGTTTGAGGTGAAAATGAGCTGTGACAACGATTGTAACGTGCACTTTTTCTCATATGCTACCACCAGGACACAAAAGAATGCCATGAAATTGCAGATAAACATTTCACAAATGCTTTTATAAATTTTTCTTCTTTCCCCGCTGTTTGCCACTTCCAATTTCATCCCGCAAGTCTCTTCATTTTGGTACAGAGCAGAAGAAATGGTACAATCTCACGTCAGCCATTTATAGCAGTCTGAGCAAAAACAGTCATCAAAAAGCATTATAGAAAAAGGTAAGTTTATTCACATTGTAAGCTTGTATGCTACAGACATGATTACCGGGCGGAGGAAAAAAGGAAGAAAAGTTAAATAAGGTGACTGGGGTTGTGTAATTGCAACGGATAGATCCCAGCATGCATTGCAGGCAGCCCACTGAGCTGTCACACTGGAGTTCATAATTGTGGTTCATTAATAAGCCCTTTGATGATTATTACTGCTGTTAATTATTTATTTAGCTTCCAGCAGTTACAGCATTAAATGAGTAAAAATGCTATATTCAGTCTGGTGCAGGTTAAATCTGGGGAACCCAACTTTCAAATAATAGTTTTTCTAATAAAATCTTGCTTACTAGTTCCTTCCTCTCAAAACATTCTTTGTTATGCCCCTGTCGCAGCTCAAGGTAAAACTTTTTCCAATATTAGTAAAACGGCATTTTGTCTGATTAGTTTTCATTTATTTCAAGAAGACTGAAAAAATAGCCTTGTATTAGATAAAGCCATATTCTAAAACGACATAAATATCTTGCTTATTGAAAAATCCTCTTATGAATGTGCATAAAATGAAAGTCAAATTCAAGTTTTGTTGGGTTTTTGTTTGTTTACAATTTATAAAAGCCATGAAGCATTATAATAATTAGCATAAAACACAAAATCACAGATGATAAAAATCTGACAAATTTCACCACCAAACCTTTAGGCAAGTTAATAGCCAAGATTGGAAATACAAATGCAATCAAACTATTTCAAAACAAAGGGGTTTTGATCTTTTGAAAGTGTTAAAAGAGAGTGTTATGAAAGATGCCGTTTTTTCTAAGACTTAAAATTATTCATTTCCAAGTAGAATTTCACAAAAAAGAATGAATATACCAGTAAATGATCTTCGTGGTTTGATGGTTTGTAGAAAATTAGCATAGTTTCATAGCCAAGGCACTGTGAGAGTGAAATGGACTCGGGGAAAATTAGAACAAGTATTTTCCAGAAATCATTATATTGAATACATTTTTTACCGCTTTCTTCATTCATGATATTAATTTGCCCTAAAAACCTATTCATTACTTAAACAATTTGGCCACACGCAACAAGCATAGTTCACACTAAAAATTCACGTCAGTGCATTTACAAGAAACGTACATATAAGGAATGATTATTAATTGATAAAAATAACTAAAGCCACTCACCCATGTCTTATCACATTCATTTTAATGCGAGTAAAATGGAAACTCACTCCCGTTTATGCATTTAAGCTTGTTAAATTGCCTGGTCAGACCCTTCAGGCTGTATGTTGACCTTTAGCTTGGGTTCGAGCTGTCTACGTCACACTTTCTGCGGGAGACAGCGGTACACAAGAATGACACAGCTATGTTATTTTCCAGCGCCTAAAACATGGCGGAATCTAATCACTAAAATAATGATCTGGGGAGAATACTTTGGACATTTTTTAAATTGACAGTGACCATAGTTTGCATGAAACTGCCTTCCACCACACTTATAAGCTATAGAATCTTTGGAATCTTGTGATGTCACATGAACGCAACCTAGGAAAGGCAAGTTTATTTGTTTAGCACATTTCATACACAAGGCAACTCAAGGTGCTGAACAAATCAAGATAGAAACAAGCACACAAGGCATTACAATCATAAATAATCACAGTACATTAAAAGAGTGAAGATAAAATCCGTCAGCTGTGTGCACAGCGAAACAGAACTGATTTCACCTGAATTTCATTGCAGGAGAAGAAGCCTGTCTCACATTTTCAGGAAGACCGTTCCAGATTTTACTTGCGTAAATCTGAAATGCAGCCTCCTTATGTTAGTTCTGACTCTGGTTAGTCCCTGTGCTCCTCAGAGTCCCGGCAGGCGGCCAGTCCCTGTGCTCCTCAGAGTCCCAGCAGGCGGCCAGTCCCTGTGCTCCTCAGAGTCCCAGCAGGCGGCCAGTCCCTGTGCTCCTCAGAGTCCCAGCAGGAGGCCAGTCCCAGTGCTCCTCAGAGTCCCAGCAGGCGGCCAGTCCCTGTGCTCCTCAGAGTCCCAGCAGGCGGCTAGTCCCAGTGACTAACATATCACTTACGCACTTTGGTGTGAGGCCATGGAGCTATACAAGAAGTGACATTTTTACATTTTAAAAATTAGAAAGTCTTCATCAACACACTCTACATCTTTATTGAACTTTTTTTTAACCATTTCTCAATTCTACAGTAGCTCTTTGTGTTTCTCCATTCGGCATCTACTTATTCACGCAGCTCCGGCTCCAATCTTTAGTGCACACATGTGAGGCGTGAAAGGCCCGAACACGAGAATGCTTTTAACAGTCGGAGAAATGCCAAGGCAGCCGAGCCCCCCGAAGGAGATGAGCAGGATTAGTTTGCATATAAAGCGTCTCCATCAAAGTCCAGTGTTTGCTTTCCCCGTTCTCCCCGCGCCCACCTGGACCGCCACAAATGTCCTGGGAGCTTCATCGCCTCCTCAAAGCTATACATAACATTAACGCTATTGTTCGTGAAGCATGAATTATGAATCTAAAGGTTTATGTCTTCGGCAGGTGGATTATAGAGGGAGTGACTTTGCAAGGCTGACCTGTGTGTATGACATATACAGAAGCAATGTTTGTGAGAGACAAGACCGTCGCAGCCAATGGGGAGGGGGCTAGAGGAGAGGCAGAGCAGGGAAGCACTGTACACTACAAAAAGTGATGAAAAATAAGTTAAAAATTGCTGAAATTTGGCATAATGTATCTTTGAGCACATTGTGACTGCCTATAATGGGACAAAGCAAAAATATCTTGTTTTAAAATTATTCAAGAAATTTCTCCCTTGGAATGAGAAAATAAAGCAACAGTTCGTGAAATTAGGCTAAATGGCTTTGTCCCATTGGCAAATTTTATTTGAAGAAAGTCAGAATGCACTCAAATTGAGATAAAAATCACTAGATTCAAGCAATTATTACCTCATATTTTATCATTTTTTGCAGTGTATCGGCCTGTCTTTGTGGCGTTATATATGAAAACGAAAAAATCTATAATAAGAAATAATGAATAGATACAATACAATACAATACAATTTATTCTTGTATAGCCCTAGGTCACAACAGAAGTCATCTCAGAGGACTTAACAAAACCATTGAAATCACCAACACAGGTCAGAGAATCAACAGTTAAAACACATGAAGAATATAAAGCACACACAGAAAAAAATGTCCATACATGTTGTAGAATGCTAAAGTGTCCTGATCATCACCAATCCTTTCTGTTGGACACTAACTGTCCAACAAGACCCTCCTGCATCGACAAGGAAAAACTCTTAAAAAACCCAGTGGGAAAAAGTGAGAAACCTTGGAGGAGAACTAGGGAAACCCACAGGGAGGGAGACCCATATGAGAAAG